TCATCTCACATGTTTAATGCTGTGTTAATACCCGCCGTAACTCCTGTGTGGGCAGAGCGGGGGTGTACGGTGCCCGACACAGGTACTCAGAGTTACCTACAACGTCCTTCATGTGGTGGAGGAGTAACTGGAGGAGCTCCAGGAGTGGTCGTCCAATGGGGGCCCTCCGCCGCCGCCTCCCCCTCCCGCCCAGCACCTCCGCCCTGGCTATTGACCGTCGCCACAGACCCAGGTTCGCCACCGCTATACCTCACCGCCGAAATATTGCAACTTGTCACGTATAAACAAAATCAAGAGCCGACCAGCGCGCCAACAGCCCGCTTCGTGGCGATTTATAGCCAGAGTTATGGCCGGGTTTTGGTGTTGTGGAGCGCGGCCCGACACGCCATGGGCGCCTCCCTCCCCCACCTCTGGTACACCGTCACTGAGAAGTCGGGATATTGGTGGTACACTACTGGTACACTACTGGTACACTACTGGTACTGTTATGGTGGCATGTAACTGCTGCAATGATGCTTTAGTACTCACCTAATTGTGCTTGCGGGGGTTGAGCTTTGGCTCTTTGGTCTTTGGTTTAGTGTTGGTACTGGTACCAACTTTGGTTTAGTGCTGGTACAAGGCTGTTGATAATATTAGTACAGGGCTGACACAATGACGTCTCGGTGTGTGTACAACACTATGACAATATCAGTACAATGATGGTACAACTGGAACACAATGCTGGGTTCTCTGTTGCTACAATGTTAGTAAACAAGAGGTACAATGAGGGTACAGTGTTGCTAGAGCATCCATACAATGAGTGAGAGTGCAGTACACTCACACTATCCGTATAATGTGTAGCCTGAGAGTCCGTCATCAATATTCGAGGCGTCACCCTGCCATCCCATCTGTCCCAGGAACCTCACATCTCAGCCATTGTAAAGAGTTCCTCCAAGACGTTCAAGATTCTCGCCAGATCAAGATGATATTTCATTTCTCAGTTACTTCAACTGCAGAAAAATCCCATTTGCCGTCGTGGAGAATACTGTTCCCACCTGTGGCCAGGCTCGGCCCCCTAGCAACACTACAGAGCTCAGCCCCCCTAGCAACACTACAGAGCTCAGCCCTCTAGCAACACTACAGAGCTCGGCCCCCTCCCCCCTAGCAACACTGCAGACACAATTCACAGAAAAACAGTGTTGCCACAGGTCACCTTACTGACTTGTCACTGACGTACGCTGCAACGTTGCATGTGTTGCTCTACACTCCCGTAATTATTGCTCTCCCAGTTACTACGTCAAATTGAATTTTTCCCTGAACTAAAGAAGGCAGGTTTGAAAGAAACAAAATTGTACAGATAGTTGAGCAACAGAGAAACATTAGTGACTGGGCCTCGTGCCGCCAGGACCCCGGATGCTGAGCTGCCTCACGTCCCCACTACACTGTTACCAACTTTGGGGATAAACCTGCACCATATATCTTTAGTTATCCCTCATCTCCAATTACGGGCTATTCATGCCCATGCCACCTCTTGGGTGGCTTAATCTTTATCAATCAATCATCATCTCCAAGACCACACAGGGAGACATCTCCCGTCACGCAGGGTGCAGTCGCACCTCCACAGATCTTTCAGTATCATCTATTGATACTGGTAATGGCTACAAAGGGCCACCACTTAGGGGCTATTCATGCCCGTGCCACCTTTTGGGTGGCTTAACCTTCATCAATCAATCATTCATCTCCAAGCCTTCAACAACTGTCTCTTTTGACAGTTGGACAGATAAAAAGACCCGGTAATTGATATCACATTGAACATGTCTCTCGAGGCTCACATCAAACGGATATCCTAAGATGAATAAGTAATGTATACCAACATAACATTTAAATTTGCGAATCAATAGGGAGTTGCTCAGGACTGTGTTAGCAACATACGTCAGACCAATTCTGGAATGTGAATCACCAGCGTGGCGTCCTTATATCGTTAAACACAAAACGAAACTAGAGAAAGTTCTGAAGTTTGCCACCAGACTAGCGCCAGAGCTGAGAGGTTTGAGTTATGGGGAAAGACTAAAGGAATTAAACCTCGCTGTACAAATATAAGAAACAGAGGAGACCTGATCATCACGTACAAAATATTTAGCATGGATATTACAAGAGACACGGGTGGAACCCGAGTACAAGAGAGAGCCAAGGACATTGCAAATAATTCACTCAGTGACAGGATACTGAACAAAGAGAAGGTGTATATATATATATATATATATATATATATATATATATATATATATATATATATATATATATATATATATATATATATATGCGAACAAGCCAGAATGGTCCCCTGGACAATATGCAACTGAAAACTCACACCCCAGAAGTGACTCGAACCCATACTCCCAGAAGCAACGCAACTGGTATGTACAAGACGCCTTAATCCACTTGACCATCACGACCGGACAAAATGAGGTGATAGCCGAGGCTATTTGAACCACCCCACCGCCGGCACTCGGATAGTTATCTTGGGCATAGCCTCGGCTAGCCTCGGCTATCACCTCATTTTGTCCGGTCGTGATGGTCAAGTGGATTAAGGCGTCTTGTACATACCAGTTGCGTTGCTTCTGGGAGTATGGGTTCGAGTCACTTCTGGGGTGTGAGTTTTCAGTTATATATATATATATATATATATATATATATATATATATATATATATATATATATATATATATATATATATATATATATATATATATATTATATATATACAATATATATACAATGTATGTTGTGTATATATATATATTATATATATACACAAGATTGAACTCAAAATATTTTATTCCTCTCAAAGTATTCCTCTATTGTGGTAGTGTGTACTGGTATTCCAGTGTTGTGTGGAGTACACTTACACCCGGAGAGTAACTGCAGTAGTCTGGTATTAGGTCACCTGCTGAGAGATGTCATCCCTTGCACTAATACTGTTATAAGCTTAATCCTATAATTGTTTTCTTGTCCATGTGGGCCACTAGGGACCTGAGCCTCTTTCCTATGTAATGACCAGCCAGCCTACCGCTCCTGTGCCAGGTAAGTCCACAATGGGCTCACCATAGCCCGTGCTACTTGGAACTTGTTCGGAGTAGCTGTATCTATAACAACATCTCCTTAGTACCACCTCTCATGTTGTCTACACAGTCACCATCACACAGTTTGTGAAGTGTCTTTATATACCACATGTTTTGTGTGGGTGTGTCAACACACCTATTTGTGCCTGCAGGATTGAGCATTAGCTCTTGGACCCCCGCATTTCCAGCCGCCGGTTGTTTAAAGCAATGACCTCTGACCTACTTGACTTCTGATCTACTTCCCTATCATATCTGCTTTGAAAATTTTGAGTGACGTTTGCTTCTACAGCCTGTTCATTTAGTTCCTTAAATTGTTTCAAGCGTGGGTTGGACATGTATATGATTGTGATTGGGTGGTTATAAACTGAAGCTGCCTCGTATGGGCCAATAGGCCTTCTGCAGTTACCTTTGTTCTTATGTTCTTATGTTCCTTCTATTTTCTCCACTACTCTTGCGCTCTGACTCTCAAGCTTCCACTCATGCCACTTTGTTCTATTCGTATTTATTGTGACCATTTCCTGGCTATAATACAACTATAAAATGAACTTTAAAGAGTTAATTTTTCTACTTTCTCCTGAAGTGAAGAAAAACATAAGAAATATAGAGAAGATTCGTGCTAGAATAGTTGATCTCATCCTTTCTGTCATGTTCATTAACATGTCTACAAGAAAGATTGCTACACCATACTCCATTGCCTTCTCTAGGATTCGAACTTGGGGCATCAGAATGGAATAGGGGAAAGGGGACATGATAACGACTTATAAGATTATAAAGAGAATAGACAAAGGAGACGAAAGGAATCACTGAAAGCTAATAAGAGCAGAGCGAGGAAACATAAATGGAAACTAGAGAAACTGACGAGTAGTAGAGACACCAGAAAAAATATTATGTCAGTAGAACTGTAAATAAGTAGAATGTGGTAGACGAAGAGAGCGTGGGAAGAAGAGGGAGGGACGGAGGGTAGAATCTAGTAGAGAGAAGGGTAGAGCGTGTGAGAGAAGTGTGAATTCACTCAAATGTTCACTCCAATGAGCTGCTCCAGTCTAGCGGGTAGACTCCCTCTCTCTCTCTATCTCTCTCCCCTACAACAACCAAACTCACCTGTGACCTCTCTTACCTTCCTGGAGTTGCTGGAAATGCCGCTGTGACAGGTATCTCTGCGAATCTTGGGAGCAGCAGCAGCATGAGAACAGCCGCAGGGTAGTGGAGGTCTTTAACAGCAGCAGCCTTAAAACAGTACATGCACGAAAATGCTCTGTAATGGCAGCGTGAACACGAATTTAAGATCAACACCCAACACCAGACGACTACAAGTGTGTCGCGGGAACAACAGTAATACGAGCAGCAACAGGACTAACAGTAATATAAGCAGCAGCAGGACTAACAGTAATATAAGCAGCAAAGCAGGACTAACAGTAATACAAGCAGCAGCAGGACCAACAGTATTATATGTAGCATCATGAACAACAGTAATAGAAGTAGCAACAGTAATACAAACAGTAGCAGGAACAGAAATAGAAGTAGTAGTAGCAGGAACAACTATAATAGATGCAGCAACAGGAACAACAGTAATAGAAGCAAAAGAACGAACAATAGATATATAAGCACGAACAACAGAATCCGAAGCATGAACAACAGCAACAAGTAAGAACAATAGAAACATATGAACAAGCCTAAGCAAAAGCAGAAGAAGCCAACCCAACAACAACAATAATATAAGCAGAGGCAGGAAAAACTACAGAAGCAGAAAGAACAAACAATAGTGGCACAAGTTGAGTCGCGGACAGCTGCAGCAGAATACAGAAACAGTAGAGTGAGGAACCTCAATTGTTAATGCGCAATATAAGTTAATGGAATAGTAGTAGACGCCACGACCATCAGTGTAGCAGAAACAGTAAGAACATCAGGAGGCGGTACAGCAGCAGGTGAAACATCAGGAGGAGGTACAGCAGCAGGTGAAACATCAGGAGGAGGTACAGCAGCAGGTGAAACATCAGGAGGCGGTACAGCAGCAGGTGAAACATCAGGAGGAGGTACAGCAGCAGGTGAAACATCAGGAGGCGGTACAGCAGCAGGTGAAACATCAGGAGGAGGTACAGCAGCAGGTGAAACATCAGGAGGAGGTACAGCAGCAGGTGAAACATCAGGAGGAGGTACAGCAGCAGGTGAAACATCAGGAGGCGGTACAGCAGCAGGTGAAACATCAGGAGGAGGTACAGCAGCAGGTGAAACATCAGGAGGAGGTACAGCAGCAGGTGAAACATCAGGAGGTACAGCAGCAGGTGAAACATCAGGAGGAGGTACAGCAGCAGGTGAAACATCAGGAGGTACAGCAGCAGGTGAAACATCAGGAGGAGGCACAGCAGCAGGTGAAACATCAGGAGGAGGTACAGCAGCAGGTGAAACATCAGGAGGAGGTACAACAGCAGGTGAAACATCAGGAGGTACAGCAGCAGGTGAAACATCAGGAGGCGGTACAGCAGCAGGTGAAACATCAGGAGGAGGTACAGCAGCAGGTGAAACATCAGGAGGAGGTACAGCAGCAGGTGAAACATCAGGAGGTACAGCAGCAGGTGAAACATCAGGAGGCGGTACAGCAGCAGGTGAAACATCAGGAGGAGGTACAGCAGCAGGTGAAACATCAGGAGGAGGCACAGCAGCAGGTGAAACATCAGGAGGAGGTACAGCAGCAGGTGAAACATCAGGAGGAGGTACAACAGCAGGTGAAACATCAGGAGGTACAGCAGCAGGTGAAACATCAGGAGGCGGTACAGCAGCAGGTGAAACATCAGGAGGAGGTACAGCAGCAGGTGAAACATCAGGAGGAGGTACAGCAGCAGGTGAAACATCAGGAGGAGGCACAGCAGCAGGTGAAACATCAGGAGGAGGTACAGCAGCAGGTGAAACATCAGGAGGAGGCACAGCAGCAGGTGAAACATCAGGAGGAGGCACAGCAGCAGGTGAAACATCAGGAGGGGGTACAGCAGCAGGTGAAACATCAGGAGGAGGTACAGCAGCAGGTGAAACATCAGGAGGAGGTACAGCAGCAGGTGAAACATCAGGAGGAGGTACAGCAGCAGGTGAAACATCAGGAGGAGGTACAGCAGCAGGTGAAACATCAGGAGGAGGTACAGCAGCAGGTGAAACATCAGGAGGAGGTACAGCAGCAGGTGAAACATCAGGAGGAGGTACAGCAGCAGGTGAAACATCAGGAGGAGGTACAGCAGCAGGTGAAACATCAGGAGGTACAGCAGCAGGTGAAACATCAGGAGGAGGTACAACAGCAGGTGAAACATCAGGAGGAGGTACAGCAGCAGGTGAAACATCAGGAGGAGGTACAGCAGCAGGTGAAACATCAGGAGGAGGTACAGCAGCAGGTGAAACATCAGGAGGAGGTACAGCAGCAGGTGAAACATCAGGAGGTACAGCAGCAGGTGAAACATCAGGAGGTACAGCAGCAGGAGGAACAGCACCAGGAGCTATCGAGGATAGCCGAAGTAGGAGAAACAGCAGCAGGAGCTATCGAGGATAACAGAAGTAGGAGAAACAGCAGCAGGAGCAATCGAGGATAACAGAAGTAGGAGAAACAGCAGCAGGAGCTATCGAGGATAACAGGAGTAGGAGAAACAGCAGTAGGAGCTATCGAGGATAACAGGAGTAGGAGAAACAGCAGCAGGAGCTATCGAGGATAACAGGAGTAGGAGAAACAGCAGCAGGAGCTATCGAGGATAACAGGAGTAGGAGAAACAGCAGCAGGAGCTATCGAGGATAACAGGAGTAGGAGAAACAGCAGCAGGAGCTATCGAGGATAACAGGAGTAGGAGAAACAGCAGCAGGAGCTATCGAGGATAACAGGAGTAGGAGAAACAGCAGCAGGAGCTATCGAGGATAACAGGAGTAGGAGAAACAGCAGCAGGAGCTATCGAGGATAACAGGAGTAGGAGAAACAGCAGCAGGAGCTATCGAGGACAATAGCAGTATCATTCAGAACACAGAAGGCATCAGCTCGGGTTGCTAGCCTCGACACACACGTTCCCACACGACAATAACGACCCCTTAAGGAGTCTCCTACGACTCCAAACATTAACTTCCATTTTCTCGGCTCTGCACTGCGGCTGTTAGTGCAAATTGACGGTACAAAGTCGTGAGGTGGGGGAGGGAGGGAGGGAAGGGGGGGGGGACTGTTTTAGCAGTGGTAGCGGTGAGGTTGTTGAGCGCGCTAACCTACATATACCAAACTGGCTTCTTAAGAGATTGTGTTGTTTGTTAGAATGAGGGTGAGGCGGAAGTGTGTACGTCAGTATGCCATGTACTCACACTTGTATGTGGTAGGACTGAGTGAGGGCGGGTTTGTGTGTGTGTGATCAATAAGGCAGCCAGACACACATACACACAAACACACACCTCTCGCTCAATACCTTCACCTCCTTTAGCCTGGCCCCACAAACTTCACTTCTACCACATTCCTCATGCTGTTCCTTTCCATTCACGCCAGGTAGAATATGACCTGACTTGACACGAATCTTTTGTTGCAGGTCACCGGGAGCCTCGTACAGAGATGAGACGAGGCTTGTGATTGGCCAGTCCGGCAGCTGCGCCTGTGCTCATTGGCCGAGAGGGCGTCGCCTCCTCAGTGTCCCGGGGAAGCTTTCTACACACTCCCAGACAGAAGCTTCCCATACCTCCCACAGTTCGTGACTGATTGTGAGTGTTGACTGGGGTCAACCCCAGCTTGAGGCCCCGTCAGGGTGCTATAAACAAGTGACAGTCACAGTCGGTGGTTAAATGTGGGCGGAAAACTAGTGAGTGGTACCTGAGTCCCCTCGGTGTGGCGGTGGCGGGACGCACGCTCAGTTAGTGTAAACCTGGCTCCCCTCGAGAGCGGACGTGGATCGATGATGGTCCGTGGCGGCCTCTTGTTTATTTGAATAATGGTGGGTGGAGAGCGTGGCGGGGCGGAACAGTAGGCGGTCGGAGGTGTGACTATGTGCTGGTGTGAGGCCAGTGGGGACCAACGGCGCCTCACAGCACCATAATGCGTAATTCAGTATGTTTATCGTCCTTCATCCTCCTGGTGGCCACTCTGGCGGGCGCCACGGAGGGCGAGACGGCCAAGGAATCTCGCTGTGAAGAAATAACCATACCAATGTGTCGTGGGATCGGCTACAACAACACCTCTATGCCCAACCAGTTCAACCACGACAGCCAGGACGAGGCCGGCCTCGAGGTGCACCAGTTCTGGCCGCTCGTCGAGATCATGTGCTCTCAGGACCTCAAGTTCTTCCTCTGCTCAGTCTACGCCCCCATCTGCATCGAGGACTACGACAAGCCCCTGCCGGCGTGCAGGAGCGTGTGCGAGCGCGCCAAGGCAGGGTGTGCGCCCATCATGCACCAGTATGGGTTTGGCTGGCCGGAGAGAATGGACTGTTCCAAGCTGCCGGACTATGGCGACACGGTCCACCTCTGTATGGATAAGCGTAATGGATCTGCGCCAGAGAAGAACTCTAAAAGTGTTGTGACTTTAGATAATCAGTGTCGAGGGAAGAACTCTAAATACTGCCCCAAGACGCCCCGCCAGGGCGCGTGTCAGTGCTCGTGTCAGTTCCCGCTCGTTAAGCTCGACGCTACCTATCGCCAGTTCAGTAAAAGCCGTAACGAGTCATTTAAGGTGGGGGAGGTGCAGGACTGTGCGCTGCCCTGTGAAGGTGTCTATTTTAGCCAAGACGAAAGAACATTTGCACAATTCTGGATCGCCACGTGGGCAATACTGTGTTGCGTGTCGACGTTAACGACAATCACGACCTTCCTGATCGACATGGACCGGTTCAAGTACCCAGAGCGGCCCATCATCTTCCTGAGCGGGTGCTACTTCATGGTGTCGGTCGGGTACATCATCCGGCTGGTGGCGGGGCACTCTGAGGTGTCGTGTGACGGGGAGATGATCATCCTCAACTACCACCTGGTGCGTCACAACACCTACGGCTCCGGCCTCTGCACCACCGTCTTCCTCCTCGTCTACTTCTGTGGGATGGCCTCCAGCATCTGGTGGGTCGTACTCGCCTTCACCTGGTTCCTCGCAGCTGGCCTCAAATGGGGCAACGAGGCCATAGCCGGTTACTCCACCTGGTTCCACCTGGCTGCTTGGCTCATCCCGACCGTCCAGAGCATCGCCGTGCTCGTCATGGCCGGTGTGGACGGGGACTCTGTGGCCGGAATCTGTTACGTGGGCAACCAGAACACCGGCAACCTACGAGTCTTCGTTCTTGCGCCTCTCTTCATCTACCTGGTCCTCGGCTCCTGCTTCCTCCTGGCCGGCTTCGTCAGCCTCTTCCGCATCCGGAACGTGATCAAGCAGCAGGGCCGGACCAAGACAGAGAAGCTGGAGAAACTGATGATCAGGATCGGGGTGTTCAGCGTCCTCTACACCGTGCCCGCCACTATCGTCATTGGCTGCTACTTCTACGAGCAGTTGTACGTGGCCAACTGGCAGGACTCGTTGGTGTGCCCGTGTAGCCCCCACCAGGGCCAGCGGCCTGACTACTCTGTGCTCATGCTCCGCTACTTCATGACACTGGTCGTGGGCATCACCGCCGGGTTCTGGATCTGGTCGGGTAAGACCCTGGACTCGTGGCGACGGTTCTACCAGCGGCTGTGTCCCGGGGCACACGGGCACACCTACGAGTACCCGACGCGACCCATTAAGGAGGCGACAGCGCCCTCCTGTGCGTCGTTCCCTCCCCCGCCCCTGAGCGCCCAGGGCACGACCCACAGCGTGGCGTCGCACATGGGGCCTGTGAACAAGACACTGCCACTCTCACACGTATGACAAGAGAGGGAGGAGGGGGGCTACCTGGCTGGGGCCCAGAGCACCATGGGGGGCTGCCCCGCCAGCGTGGTGAGCGGCGCGCCCTCCACCTGCCACAGCGTCACCACGCCCCACGTCTACGTCGACCCCAGGGACGAGATCCTGCCCTACGAGCTCTGAGCGTCACCCCCAAGAACGAGACCTTGCCTACGAGCTTCATCCCACACTACGCGATATGGTGCACGTAGTGAATGACTCACTCACCTGGAAGATGCAAATGGAGGTGGTTGTGTTGGTGAACCTTGTGGTAGCAGCTCTGATCCACACGTGTTTTTCATTGGTGGAAGCCATGTTCCACTACTCCCCACAAGTTAGTGGTGACGGTTCAGCTCCCATGTACCGTGTCAGTAGGTGGGTAGCAGGCGTGCTCCCTAGTGGTATATAACATAGTGGGGAAATAATTACATGCTCAAAGCAGCCCTCTTCCCATATGGCAGTGACACGCCCCACCCCTTGAGATGGGCACTCTATGGGGTGCCAAAACTCAAGTGCCCACACCGTTTCCTGTGATGACTTGTATCCAATCGTTTACGATACTATGTAGTGGCAACTCGCTGTTGTCCACAACACAGATCCACGACGCCAAGTTGACAACATGACAGTATTTTCTTGGCAGTATTTTCGAGTTGACCCGTGCGAATAGCGCGGCATATCCCACAATGCAGTTTGCCAAAAATGATGTTGTAAGTGAGTCAATTGGTCTGTAGTAAGATTATTGACTGTTAAAAGGTGCAATCAAACAAATGTATTATATTGGTGTAATTATGTTGATTTATTTAAATGTAAAAAATGTATATTTCGTGTATAAAGGCTTTCACATTTGTAGAGTGTACATATTTTTAGCTTTTGAACGATTATGTCTATATGTGCTATAAATGTCATTTTTATATGTACTATCTTTAAGTCGCCCCTTGCATATCAGTATGAATTAAACCTATGCTGTGAAATGTCCAGAGTGTTTTAATATCTTCACAAGCCAGCGCAGGAAAGCCGTCACCTTTACAACATGGCAACAACTTCATTCATATTAATTAATGAGAAATATAATGCGCAGCACAAAAATATGCTTATATGAATTGAAAGAAAATAAAAAAAAACTACGTTATAACAATGATACAGGAACACCTCTACTGAACACTGATTGTAGGGATTGATTGATTACTGATTGTTGGGTAGGGAATGACTGGTTGATTGTTTACTGTATATTCTATTATAAAGCCATTCACTAACCGTGCATCTAGCACACAGTATATACAAATGAACCTATCCTCTAAAAGCAGGATAAAAGATATGTCGCTATAAAAATAATGATTGAGGTTGCTTTACAATAACAAGTTACAAGTTATATACCAGCAGAATAAATACACTTTGATGTGTTCTTCACGAGCACTCGACAACAAAAGACGGGGGCGAGCTGTGGCAACACTGTCTTTGCAATAGCCTCGTCTAAAATGAAAAATGTGATGCAAGGGAGAACTGTCCGAGAAAAAGGTTTAGAAACAATATAGGAGTACAAACTAAAGGTAATGAATAACGTATAACGAAATAATGAGATAATGTATAATATTATCCAGGTACTTATGGAAGGTTAATTCTTAATCAAGTCCGCATCTCGCTTCTCCAGAAATTAGTAGCTGAAAGCGAAAAATTTGATAGAATTTGGTATCGGGAAAAATGATTATCTAGTTCCAGAATTAAACTAACGTTATTTTCCCAATGAATATAGAAAACGCTACACTATGTTTAATCTGATTTAAGACTGAATAATTTAGTCGTGTCCGGAGGCAGTGCTGAGGTCATGAGCTCCCCCCCCCCACCCCAAGGGGGAGGGTTGGGGAGGCTTGGGTTCACATTTCCTCCGTGACAAGAATACATTCCCGTCATCATGAATTTTACATCTAGCCAGACGGGGATTCAAGGACATGGTATAAAAAAAATCTGGGTTTTCAGAATCCGGTTAAATCGTCTCTAAAGAGAGTTTATAAACATATTGAAACTCTGAATTCTTTGATGAGTGTTCTGCTTGGAGAGGCTTTAGATATTTGGGAGATTTTTCCCATATCGTTGATTGTCTCATTTGCATTTTTCTTTATTAAAAGTCGTGAATAATGTGAAATTTCAATATAAAATAATGAATAATGACGCACGGAAGCTAACACATTTATTTAAATTAAAATGAAATAATATCAATAAAAATATACATAATGCTAATAACATCTTGAAAGATAATTCAAATGAAAAATACTGGTAAGGCTATACAAAATAATTAATTAATACCTAGAAAACCAGGAAATTATAAGGTATAATATGTAATGGATGGTGTCAGCCTTGTGGCACTGTGTGAAGGCTGGCACTGGGTCCGAGGTGCCCTTGTGTATGAGGCTCGCTGCCAACACTCACATTTTAAACACCAAGAATACCATTATTATTTAATATTTTCATCACAATTAAAGTATTTAATGATTGATCCCCATTCGCTTCCCTCCCAACTCTCCCTCTCTTTATGTGTTCTTAAAAGACATTATCTGTCAAAACTAACAACTTTGTCCTCGCCAAAATTTGTATTAATCCTCAATGTGCAATTTTTAAATAAACAGCTTAGGCGTTCAAAGCCTAGTAAGCCATTTTGATCACTTCTGCTATTACAAACACACACACACACACACACACACTGACTAGCGAAGTGTAGTGTGTGTGTAATCGCGCGTGTGTGTGTGTGTGTGTGTGTGTGTGTGTGTGTGTACCCGTGCGCGTGTGTGTGTGCGTGTTTACATTCAACTGAGCTGCCAATATAACGTGCTTGGTCCACGTGTAAAGTAACTCCAGTATTTTAAAGGTAGAGACTTTACCTCATAAACGTAGACTAATGTATTTACTTAGCAATGAAAATAAAATGTTAGTGGACACACCAAGTGATACATCACCACCCAGTGTTCAACTACGACCATACTGCGCACCACCACTACCCTATGTACCACCACCACTACCTTGTGTACCACCACTACCACCCTGCACACCACCACTACCCTTTGTACCACCACTACTACCACTACCTTGTGTACCACCACTACCATCCTGCGCACCACCACTACCCTTTGTTCCACCACTACCTTGTGTACCACCACTACCACCCTGCGCACCACCACTACCCTGTGTACCACCACCATCACCCTGCGCACCACCACTACCCTGTGTACCACCACCATCACCCTGCGCACCACCACCCTGTGTACCACCACCATCACCCTGCGCACCATCACCCTGTGTACCACCACCATCACCCTGCGCACCATCACCCTGTGTACCACCACCATCACTGCGCACCACCACCCTGCGCACCACTGCGCACCACCACCCTGTGTACCACCACCATCACCTTGCGCACCACTCTGCGCACCACCACCACCACACTCCCATCACTTATTTATTAAAATTAATTGCAATTTGAATACTAATACACATGTGTATATTAATGTAGTCATATATACTAATGTACAAATGAATACTAATAGACATATATTAATGAAAGCGTGTATTCTAGTATACATATGCATACTAACATGTGTTTATTAATGACCCAGAGTATAATAATGTACTTGTGCTAACTAGTAAACATGTACACTAATATACAAGTGTATAATAATATACGCATGTACACTAATACATGAATGTATACTAATATACGTATGTCTACTAATAGAGACATATACCAATATATGTGTGTATATCACGAAAATTAAACACGTGATTAAAAATGTGACAGTGTCAGACCACGGAGGAAAATTGAAACAGGAATTTCCTTAAGTACTTTCGTAAATAACTTAAGGAAATTCCTGTTTCAATTTTCCTCCGTGGTCTGACACTGTCATATAAATATATATACATTTATACAAATATACGCATGAATATTAATACAGCGGTGTACAGGGTCTCAGAGGGTCCTGAGACTGTGATGCCATATTGGACTCGTCTCGACTTGCTCTTTATGAAGTAAATCATCGTACATGTTCATAACAAAATAACAAGTTAATAACATGTGTTCAGTATGAACACGTTGACGGTGATGAGTTCCGCACACCTGGGCGTCAGTGTTGTGTACACCTGGGCGTCAGTGTTGTGTACACCTGGGCCTGTGTTGTGTATACCTGGCCCTCAGTGTTGTGTACACCTGGCCCTCAGTGTTATGTACACCTGGCCCTCAGTATTGTGTACACCTGGCCCTCAGTGTTGTGTACACCTGGCCCTCAGTGTTGTGTACACCTGGCCCTCAGTGTTGTGTACACCTGGCCCTCAGTGTTGTGTACACCTGGCCCTCAGTGTTGTGTACACCTGGCCCTCAGTGTTGTGTACACCTGGCCCTCAGTGTTGTGTACACCTGGCCCTCAGTGTTGTGTACACCTGGCCCTCAGTGTTGTGTACACCTGGCCCTCAGTGTTGTGTACACCTGGCCCTCAGTGTTGTGTACACCTGGCCCTCAGTGTTGTGTACACCTGGCCCTCAGTGTTGTGTACACCTGGCCCTCAGTGTTGTGTACACCTGGCCCTCAGTGCTGTGTACACCTGGCCCTCAGTGCTGTGTACACCTGGCCCTCAGTGTTGTGTACACCTGGCCCTCAGTGTTGTGTACACCTGGCCCTCAGTGCTGTGTACACCTGGCCCTCAGTGCTGTGTACACCTGGCCCTCAGTGCTGTGTACACCTGGCCCTCAGTGCTGTGTACACCTGGCCCTCAGTGCTGTGTACACCTGGCCCTCAGTGTTGTGTACACCTGGCCCTCAGTGCTGTGTACACCTGGCCCTCAGTGCTGTGTACACCTGGCCCTCAGTGCTGTGTACACCTGGCCCTCAGTGTTGTGTACACCTGGCCCTCAGTGCTGTGTACACCTGTGCGTGCTACAGAAATACATTAACTGGCAGGCATAAATACATACAGCATCAAGTTACATAGACACATACACAGAGATAGAGACAGACGCAGGTAGAGACAGAGACACGGATAGACAGAGACACGGAATAGACAGATAGCTATTTATCTGTCAATCATGAAGGACAGGTGAGTGACAGCATTGCTAAGCACTGTCGATATGTTATGTTACTGGTCAAAATAACAGTGACGCTTGTAGATTTGGGAGAGAGAGAGAGAGAGAGAGAGAGAGAGAGAGAGAGAGAGAGAGAGAGAGAGAGAGAGAGAGAGAGAGTGAGTTACCCTGCCTCACCCCTCCCTGCCTCATTCGGAGGGCCAAGGAAGAGGTGAATTAGCCAAGTCTCAAAGTTTATGAAACATGGCTTCAGAAGTTCCCGTAATATTGAGATTTTTTATTTATTTTGCCGTAGAGTGAGACCGCCCAGGAATTTAAACTATGTGGAATGGCTTGGTGTGCGAGGGGCGGGAACTGAGGTGGGGTGAGGGGTGGGGGGGGGGGGAGAGAGAGAGAGAGAGAGAGAGAGAGAGAGAGAGAGAGAGAGAGAGAGAGAGAGAGAGAGAGAGAGAGAGAGAGAGAGAGAGAGGGGGGGGGGAATAACCCAACAGAAGTGACTGCAGTTCTTGATTAATGATCACTAATAATTACAACTCAGCGCAGGTGTGCAAAATATGTTTATGCACATCGCACCACGTGATATTGGCTGTGTCACCGGAACAGCGTCGACCTCTTCTTCCTCAAGAGGTCGACGCTGTTTGCGAGAATCGATCCCCAGATCGATTCTCGCAACGCGTTCCTCTTGCTAAACAATGCGGAATATCGATTTCCTCCCTACTGTCTCCTCTAAATAGGACCCTTGAATGGTTTGAATCCTATCTGCAATCACGAGGTGGAATTTAATGCCATAGATTGGCGTAATTTTTTAGTGGGTGTGAGTGGTGGGGATTGTGGGCCGACTCTCACACTGTCTCTCTCTCTCTCTCTCTCTCTCTCTCGCCCTCTCTCTCTCGCCCTCTCTCTCTCGCCCTCTCT